GAACAAGGTATTCCTCCCCTTTTGTGTTTGGTAAAGTGTATCAATGTCAATCACATATTGGTTGTGGTCATCGCTTGAAGCTATCAACCCATCGAGCCAATAAACGTCTTTTCAGTATCAGCTTTTGCAACGTGGCCATCACTCTGGCGCAACTATTCAACTTCCAGCACGAGGAATTTCTCCCGCTTTAAATCCAGAGCTGGATGCACTACTCAAGCTTGGAATGTCAGCTGGGCGCGTTAGAAATATGATTCATTTCAAGTACATTCGAGAGCCTGAGATGTTAGTACATGTTCCTGACGTTCGAAAGATGGAAAACAGTAAAGCTTGTCTGAAGAAAAAAAGTAACTGGAGGGTGGGAGATCAACACGTTTATCTCGTTGAGGAGCTGGTCTGCTCTCAAAATGTGCTAGGACCGCACAAAGTTCCTTGGTGTGGATGAATACAACGTTGCCGACATGAATTCTATGGTTGTACTTTATGACTTTGAGCATACGGTTACCTTCAACAACCGAGAGGTCCCCAGCATGGGGGTAGTTGTGACGACGCGATCTCTTTTTCAAAACGTTCGTCAAGCCATGCAGGATCAAGGACCCACCCTCGTGATGCCAACAGAGGGGACTTACAAGTTTCATTTTGGTGGGTGGACACTTGTCGATTGTGGGGGCATTTTAGTTGAGACCATGGATACTGGGTTCGTACACCGATTTCGACCCTGGTTGTTTATGTTCCTTCGTACCGAGAGCGAGCTTGCTTACGAGCAGTTGTTCAGAAGCTTAGTTAAGTACGCTCGCGTGTTCTACGATATTGACGTCAGTATTCGAAGTGCAAGCATTCACCACACCGATGGCATTGCGTCTGTTCTAGTCTCGGTGTGGCCACAAATCGAGATACTCACATGCTGGGAACACCTTTTACGACAGTCAAGAAAGCAAACCAAACTGGCACGAAAACACGTTTATAAAAGAATGTGTACAACCCCATCTTCGTCTACTTCACGCTGCCAGATCACTAAAACAATTTCGGGCTTTGGCAAAACGAATTCTTCAAGCCTGGCGCGAGAAAAACGAAGGTCCTTTAGCCGATTGGTTAGAATCGGTGTACTTGAAGCCACGTTGAGACCGTTCGAGTGTAGGAAGCTCTTCTGTACCAGGCTTTTTGCCTACCCAACAACCTATAGAGAGCCATCATTGAGTGATTAAGGACATTGTCACCGACTTCAAAAAGGCACCAACAATATCCGTACTCAGCTCTGTACTTCCCCGAGTTTTACTGTACGACACTACCAACTTGTCGTCCGGAAGCCAAGGTCATTACGCTGAAGGTGCCGTTACCGTATTTGCTTTATATTCGCTAATTTTACTGAGTTTATTACGTTGTCCAGGTCCTTTACCGCTTAAAGCTGTCATGAAGGCCAAAGACTTTCTAATTGACCCTCCAAACCACCGGATAGTTACTACAAAGTCCACCCAACGACCCGCGCGGATAGTTTTCAACAGCACCAAATCGATGGTGCAACCAAAGAATATGGCTGGGTCCCCCGTGACAGCGAGCGGTATTTATTTCTATAAACTACATTATGTCTGTTTCTTTTTTTATGGCTTGTTGCTTTTTCTACGATAGATTTCAGCGATCTTTACGAAGTTGGCTGGGTGGCGAAGGCCCTATTTTCGATATCCAGTTTACTTTCTTGTCCCTGCATCAAGTTACGCTACATGAACATCACCTGGCTCAAATGGAAGATCTACCGCTGCAGTCGATGTGGAGATCCCCGGAAGTAAGTACAATTTCATTCATTTTTATAACGATCACCCTAAATCTAACACGATCTCGGCAGATTGTGTCTGTTCGCAAAGCTTTAAGCTGCACATGCAAGAGCTATAAGCACTCTGGATGGGTCTGTTCCCACGTTATTGCGTATTTGCATCTCCTAGACAAGCTCAACATTGAACGAGCCCTAGAAACAATTCCGATGCGAGGGCCACCTGGACGCCGAGAGTCAACACGAGGCGGATTGAATCGAGACGGCGTATGCGATTTCGATCGCCTGATTGAGGTGTTCGCTAAGGATCCTGGTAGAGCATTAAAGTGGTCTGTGGTAGAGGAATTTGAGGTGCTAGACGATGGAGTAGCAGTTCCAGACCGCCGAATTGGGCAAGTTTCGGCTTGCCGTCTTTCTTCTCATGATGGGGTCTACATCTGGACGGCATCCTTTGTGGATGGAGGTAGAACGGAGTATAAGGGGGAGGAACTCGTACACGCCATACGTAGAGCGCGCGATATGAGTGCCTCTGTCTAAGACAAGCGTTCAATGAATTTGGATTTTCTACATAGAACACAACAGATTCTCAGAGTCAAAGGTCTGGATTTCTATGGACATATTATAAGCAATGAATTTCTGTCGTCTTAAGTTCGCAACAGGTATTCATAGTTCGCAACAGAAATTCAGCATTGATTGGTATGTAACACACGTTCAGCATTTGAGCAACATATATTAATTAACAGCCCCCGATACCTTAAAACAACTTCAAGGTCAATTAGAAGTTGTTGGGCCGTCAATTTTGCAGCCATCCAGCATTCCGCCTTATTTTGAACTCTACAAGTTTGATAGACAATTATGATCAATTGAAGAACTTCCTAGCCGCCAAGAAGAAAGAAAGGAGCGTGTTCTTGAAGAGAAATGTGTAGCAGCAG